CAGTGTCAGATTAAAGAAGAGACTATCTACAGCCTTGAGAACTGCAGCCCAGCAGCCACAGACTCACAGCGCAAATAATTCCGGCAAATGGGAAGGAACTGCAGGGGCAAGACAACTGTGGACTGGTAGTCACCATTGCTCAAGGCCACCTCTCACAGACCACCCTGCCCCCACTTTTCTGGGCTTATCCCTGCAGGGGCCACCAGAGCTGTGAGACACACAGGCTCTGCATTGGGCTACAGGGGGGAGCATTGGGACTTCAGAAGCTCAGAACTCTATCGCCCTCCACATCCCGCCATTAAGGTGGTTCCCTAAGACCATGGTAACCTGCTCACAGAGGAAAACACCACCTTCCAGGGAACCCCTGATCACATGAGAAGCCCGAACAGTGCAAGAGAAAATATAACATTACAGTGTGAGATAGAATAAAAGGCTGCAGCGGGAGAGAAAATAAAAATTTCCACCAACACCTACTGGAAAGCAAAAGAAAGACCTCTTTATATCAACCTGCTGCAGAACCCACTCCTGTAGATGCCCGGGAAGAGAAATAATAATTCATTAATTGCCGTGAATAACCAAGGTAACAAGGCAGATCAGGAAGAAAATGAAGTCTCCAGAAAATGAACTTAAAGACATGGAAATCTGTGACTTAAGTGACAAAGAATTCAAGATTGCAGCTCTGAAAAAACTCAACAAGATGGAAGAAAACACACACAGGCTGTTTAATGAACTCAGAAGCATAATCAAAGAACAAAATGAATATTTTACCAAAGAGATTGAAATTCTAAGAAAGAACCAAATAGAAATTCTGGAGATTAAGAACTCAATAAAAGAAATGAAGAACGAAATAGCCAGCTTAAGTAATAAAAATGACCAGATAGAGGAAAGAGTTAGTGACATCGAAGATAGAAATCTGAAAATGACACAGATGGAAGAACAGAGAGACTTGAGAGNAAGAGCATAATACATATTTTTCTGAAGTACACATAGAACATTCCCCTGGATAGACTATATGTTAAGCCACAAAATAACTCTTAATAAAATGTAAAAGGTTGAACTCATACAAAGTATGTTCTCTGACAACAGTGGGATGAAACTAAAAGCCAGTAACAGAAAGAAAACTGGAAAATTCACAAATAGATGGAAATGAAATAACATATACTTAAGCAACTGTGGGTTAAAGAAGAAATCAAAAGTTAGAAAATACTTTGACATGGATGGAAACTAAAACACAACACAACAGAACTTATGTGATACAGCAAAAGCAGTCCTCAGAAATGTACAAAGAGGAAAAATATCAAATCAGTAACTTAACTCTCCAATTTAGTGATCTAGAAAGAGAAGAGCAAACTAAACAAAAAGCTAACAAAAAGAAGGAAATAATTAAGATTAAAATAAAGTAAATGAAATAGATAAATTAGTGAAACCAAATGTTGGTTCTTTGGAAAGTATAACAAAATTGGCAAATCTTCAGCTAGATTGATGAAGAAAAAAAGAGAGAGGACACAAGTTACTAAAATCATAAGTGAAAAAGGACAATTACTACTGACTTTACAGAAACAAAAAGGATTATAAGACAGTACTATGAATAAATATATATCAACAAACTAGATAACCTAGATGGAATGGATAAATTTCAAGACACACCCAAACTACCAAAACTGACTCAAGAAGAAATAGAAAATCTGAATAGACCTATAACAAGTAAAGAGATTGAATCAGTAATCAAAAACTCCCAAAAAAGAAAAGACCAGGGCCAGATGGCTTCACTGGTGAATTCTACAAAGATTTTAAAGAAGAATTAACACCAATCCTTCACAAATTTTTTAGAAGAGAGAACACTTCCTGATTCTATGAGGCCAGCATTACCATGATTCCAAAGCCAGATAAAGGCATCACAAGAAAAGAACACTATACGAGGTCTGACAGTTAAATTCGTGAACTTGTTGCAACGATGTTGCTAACCTTTTTTAATATCAGAGGGATTATTCATTATGAATTGCACCAACTGGACAAACAGTAAACCAAGTTAACTGTTTGGAAGTGCTGAAAAGGCTATGTCAAAAAGTTAGGCGACCTGAACTTTTCACCAACAATTCATGGCTCTTGCATCACAACAATAAACCAGCTCACACGGCACTATCTGTGAGGGAGTTTTTAGCCAGTAAACAGATAACTGTATTGGAACACCCTCCCTACTCACCTGATCTGACTCCCAATGNGTAGTTCATCAGGGGTAAAGCAAGAGACATGATAAGGAGACAACCTTGCAGCAATCTATTGGGTTGTCAGGGAAGTCATGACACACTTTTGCATTGAAAAGCATAGAAAAATACATCATGACTTTCCTGACGACCCAATAAATGAACTCCTCATTAGCCAACACAACAGAAAAACTGGCAGCTAATTAACCCCCACCATGTTAAATAGCAACATTTATACTGCAATGGAACTAAAGCCCAGGCATGTAATCAGCTCAGACTTTAAGCACCTAAATAGCCGATATACCCCTTCTCAAAAGTGAAAACTGATTAGGTTGTATATGCATGACTTATTTTCCACATAATTATGTTTCCCCATGTAAAGCAATATTGAAGAAAAATATTATACTGTCTCATTAGGGAAGAGAAGATGAAGATGAGCCAGGTTGGGAATGTGGCAGGAGTTAGGGAAGTGCTAATTAGGAGGATTCTGTGGCCCAAAGGCCCAAAGGTGGGCTAGAGATTCTTGGTAGGGTAACTCAGCCTTGCTAAGTCAGACTGCTTGCAGGAGAGCCTTGGGCTTGTGTCTCTGCATGGTGAAAGCTGAGGTCAAACAGAGAATCACAGTGGCTCCTTATGTCACATATGCTATACAGAGATATATGTTCACCCTCACTGCCCATCTCACTTATACTCAAGGAACTGAAGCCAGTGAACTAGGTCAGAGGGCTGTGACACCCAAAGAAAAAGATCACGCAGGCAAGAATTAACAAGTTTTGCTAACTAGAACTGAAAGGGACAAAGCACCCAACTCTTCACCCAAGGAAATGCAGAAGAAATAGGCTGAGACAGTAAGGCCTTAAGCAGTGCTTTCTATTCTTTCCTAAGACTTCGAGGAGAGAGTAAGCCTAGGGTAAAAGGTCTACTGGGTCCTTGAGAGAGAAGATATGTTTTCCCCTGTGACCAGTAGGAGGCAGCAGCTCAGAGAAGAAAGAAGACACCAACCTGGAAAGACTCCTCTGAGAGGGTAGAGACTTAGTCATCTTTTATTCCGACCTTCCATTTGGATGATTGTGTTTCCTGCCTAGCTTCCTAGTTCATCTGGTTAGGATAATGATTACAGCTGCTTCTTCGGATGCTGCTGCTGCTGCCACCTGCCCTCCACGAGCTCACCGCAGTGAACTAATCAACCAAGGAGCATGGTAGAAATAGCTAAGAACTCTCATTCCTGGAGGCGGTTTAATTGTACCACCAAAGACTAGAATTTCTGCCTGCCAACCCAACATTTAACCTGAAGCAACTTGACTCAATTCTTGAATATACTAATACTCAAGCAGGACAAATGTTTCCACTGATGCTTGGAAATGTTTATGATAAATAATTTAACTCCATTCCTTAACTTATAAAATACATAGTTAGCCTATTCAAATTAATATAAAGAGAAAGCTTCACATCTTAAAATGTTATCTAATTTTCTTAATTATAATCCCCAAGGTAACCACTAAGAAAATAATTTTAAAATATATAGAGAAGGAAANCCACTGCTATTCAACATAGTATTGGAAGACCTAGCCAGAGTAATCAGGCAAGAGAAGGAAACAAAAGACATGGTAATAAAGAAGTTAAATTGTCACTTTCTGCAGATGACATGATGCTTTATATAGAAAACCGTAAACACTACACCAGAAAGCTATTATTGGGTTGTCAGAAAAGTCATGACATATTTTTTTCTATGTTTTTCGTTGCAAAAATGTGTCATGGCTTTTCCAACAACCCAATAGAAACAATAAACAAATACAGTAACGTCGCTGCTACAAAATCAATGTACAAAAATCCATATACTAATGAAAAAATCTCAGAAAATGAAATTTAAGAAATCCTTCTGAAATTGCAAAAAAAAAGAATAAAATACCTAGAAATATATTTAACCAAGGATTTGAAGGTCCTACACACTGAAAACTATAAGACATTTTTAAAAGAAATTGAAGAAGACACAAAGAAATGGAAAGACATTCAATATTCATGGATTGGAAGAATCAACATAGTTAAAATGGCCATATTACCCAAAGCAAAAAACAGATTTAATGCAATCCCCATCAAAATCCCAAAGGCATTTTTTCAAGAAATAGAACAAAAAATCATCAGATTTGTATGGAACCAAAAAAGACCTCGAATAGGAAAAACAATCCTAAAACAACAACAACAACAATGCTGGAGGTATCACACTTCCTGACTTCAGCTTATACTGCACAGAAACAATAATCAAAACAGCATGGAATTTTAATAGATATATACGACATAAAAGGTGCAATAGATTGGGGGAGGGGGGTTACCACTTTGTGAGGGGTGAAATGTATAAATATTACATTGTTTTGTACACCTGAAACTAACTATAAAATAAAACCAGCATGGTACGGGCAGAAAAAAAGACACACAGACCAATGAATGAAATGGAATTGAAAACACATAAATAAACCCACATAAATATGGACAGATAATTTTCAACAAAGGAGCCAAAAACTTACAGTGGAAAAAAGAAAGCCTCCTCAACAAATGGTGCTGGGAGAATTGGACAGCCACATGAAAAAGAATGAAGCTAG